CCCTCATGGTTATGAACTAAGTCTATTGAAAGCCTTTTTATTACTGTTGTTTTTGGGGGTGTGAGGAATTAAACATATTAACTTGGGGGGAACACACATATTCAGACTACGGTGCTGCCCTAGAGACTCTGGAGTAATGGTGATCTGCCACCACCTTGACCTCAGTCCAGTGAAGGGATTTCTTTTTTTAAATATTTTATTTATTTATCTATTTTAGAGGGTAAGGGAAGAATAGAGGAAGAGAAACATCAGTGTATGGTTGCCTTTCATGTGTCTTCTGCTGGGAACTGGCCTGCAACCCAGGCATGTTCCCTGACTGGGAATCAAACCGTGATTGTTTGGTTCGCAGGCCTGCGCTCAATCCACTGAGCTACACCAGCCAGGGGGATGTCTTATTAATGCCTTCAGATTGCACAGGAATAAAGGAGTGGAGAGTGCAGCCCCAGGTGTAGGGTAAATGGTTCATTTGTCATAAAAACATAGAACAGGCTAGATGTGGTCTTCCATTTCCAAGGGTGTCTCAACCTGCTCTCTGTTGTATATTGATCAGTACTATATCAAAGATGTGGACATGTGAAGGGTTGTGGTATCAGATGAGGAGAAATCTTAGGCTCTCACCTCTAGGGAGGTCTGAAAGAACACTGTGCTGTAATAGACTGTACTTGAACTGAACACCAGACAAAGTTTGACTTTTCTGCCACAATGTGATCTCTGTGATTCTTGGCCAGAGACAAGGGCATAAAGTTTCATTCCTCACGTTCATGTACTTTCTTTTCCCAAAGTACTCTTCAATTGCTCAGAAACAGGGAATAGACGTTGCTGTGGAGAAGTCATAGAAGTCATAGAAGTTGCTGGGGACACACTACAGTCCAAATCCCCAAAACCAACCCTGACCAAGTTTCTCAGATGAGGCCTTCATGAACATTCATCATTCAGAGTCCAAGAAAACTCCCAGTGTGCCCCCTCCACAATCATAGTAAATAACAAGGGAAGTTTCAGGAGAATCTCCCCTCCATCTTCCTTGCAGTGCATCTGCTCTCTTGAAAACTTTTTGTGAATTTAGGATATGCCTGTGGCAACATCACTACTGGTCTCAGGATTCTGAATGTGTGAGGAAATCAGGAGGCTTATCACCATGTCATGTCCTCAGCCCAACCCACTTGTCCTACTCTTTTGGGTTTGTGACACACTGAGGATGTGGATTGTCATATTGAGTCTCACAGAGTAAATCATGGCTGTATCCTCAGAAGTCAGATCATTGATCTGCAGATAGGCCACACTTGCAGAGTTTTCCATAGAGAAGAAAAATCATTCTGAGAAGCCCTGGGTATATGTGGGTTCCCAGTGTTTGGGGCCTGATGTATCCAGAACATACAGGTCTGGCGAAAGTGTATGCAGCATTCTTGCAGACCTACTCTGAGGCCCCAGGTTTCCTCATATCACACCCAGACTGCACCAGCTGCACCTGGGAGTGGACACCTGTGGAGAGGAAACAGAAATTAGTGAAAATTCCCCTTGACTGCCCTTGGCACCCATCTCCACTTAGGATCTGAGGACCAACTTACCTGTAGTTACTGCCACCAAGAAAAGAGCTCTCAGACTCCAGTTCACGGTGAGGGGCTGTGGCATCAGGTCTTCTGTAAGGGACGGTGTGGCTGTGGGTGATGCTCTCAGGGCACAGACAGAACCACCTTCACCTAGTCTACTTATTCTCATTTGCATAGTCATGAGGCAGAACATTCATAACTGATTATTTGACTCAATCTGTCAGAAGTCAAAGCACACAGAGACCATGCTCAGTGAGAGAATCAGGTTGCAAGTCCTAACCAGTGTTATCTGATATGAGTCCCCTGCCAGGCCCCTGATCTCTGTGCAGATGTTGTTCCTCTAACTGAGGAACAATCCCCATAGAACATACTCCTCATGAAATCCCACCTTGGAGTAACACAGAGACCACCTGGACCAGTTCTGGGGTTTAATTCCTGTAGCTTTTATTCTTTAGATTGGGGTACCTTTCAAATGCAGCACTGAATAAATTTTTGGGAGGTAAACCCTGTTTCTTGCTTCTGAACATTCAGATATAAAAAAGCTGCAGAAATACCCCCAGTGACTGTGGTCCTCTTGCCTTATGGAGTTAGGTAAATGCTCTGAGAGTTCAGGATACATGCAGTCTCTTCATGTCCAAACCTTACTTTAGATGTGTTTTTATAACAAAAGGAAGACCCTTGCCTTCAGATGGAAGCCCTCCCTATCTTTCTCTCCACATTCTCCTGGTGAGCGGCCCTGAGTTGTTGGGTCCCATATGCCACCTGCTCTCCATCCCCTTCCCTGAAGGGAAGGGTCCTGTCTGAGCTCACAAGGCACAGGCCTCTCAGCAACTCTAGTTCAGAATTAAAAACTGCACCCTGACTTCAGGATGCTCCATCAGGGGCACCAAGTTTTGGACATCTCAGGATAAAGAGCATTGGCCTTAGTAATCTCCACTGAGTCCACAGCAAGCCCCAAACCAGAAGACTGTGAATTTAACAGGAAGTTCCTTCACTGGAGATGCCACATTCACTGATTCAGCTGACACCCCTTTGACCAGAAACTTCAGTGGCTTTGGGGACTCTGATGTCCTCAAGATCTTTGCTTGCAGGTTCCAACTGAGTATCCTTGCATGTGGCCCTAATTCTACTGCACTTCTACTGATCAATAAATCTCACACAAACAGGTGCACAGTGATCAGTTTCATGGTAATGAACCCAGGTCTTTCTTCTACCCTGTGCCAAGTGTATGGGCAGTATCCCCTGTCTCACTGGGTCCAAGGGAGTCATGCACTTTAATTACAGAACAAGAGCAAATACAATTAATGTAAAAACAGGAATGTGCCAGACCTTGTGATTTCCTGTTTTCCCAGCACCTGGGACCTGCAGAGGCAATCAAGAGAAGCCCCTGGCTTGTCATCCAGAGGGTCAGATCCAGAGTACTGTTTTCCAGTTAGTGTAACCAACACTGACCTGACTTGTGTGTGTGTGTGGGGGGGGGTCAGTCTGATCTACAGCTCACAGGTGCTCATTCTCTGAAAGCACAATCAGGAGTCCCGAGAGCAGTATCATGAGGGACACTGGATGGGCATTTCCCCAGGAGCAGAAGCAGGTGTTGATGCAGGAACAGAGGAGCTAGAAAAATGGACCTGTGGAGTCAGAGTCTGTGGAGTCAGAGTCAGTGCAGTTTTCGCTGTCCCCCTGGTGTCCTGAGCACCACCTGCAGCCCAGCCCCCCTGTCTCCCTTAGGTAGATTTCTGTTTGGGTTGATGTTGGTTATCCCTCATTGTGTCTCTTTCACAGTAATACACAGCTGTGTCCTCAGTGGTCACAGAGCTCAAGTGCAGGGAGAACTGGTTCTTGGATGTGTCTCTGGAGATGTAGGTGCAGCTCTTAGGCCTGGTCTATAGTAAGTACTCCCATGAGAACATATGCACTCAATCCATGCCAGGCCCTTTCCCTATAAGCTGGTGAATATAGCTCTAGCAGTAACCACTGGCTGTGGTGGAGAATCCAGAGAAAGAGCAGAAGAGGGAGAGGGTCTGTGAAGGCTTCATCAATCCTAGACCTCACTTCTGCAGCTGGACCTGGATCAAGACACCTGGAGACAAGAAGCATTAGTCACTGTCAGTTAAGTTCAGTCACCACCATTCCTTAGACCTATGTCTGACATCTGAGACACTCATGCAGGGGGCTATAACCAAGCACAGCAAATCCAGCAGCCTCATCTTCTCTAGAGCATAGCTTTGCCTTCCCCAGAGACCTCAGCTTCATGTGAGGAGAGAGCTGTGAGCCCCCACTGGCCATGGGAAGATTTTCCCTGGAGCTAGAAGAGAAAGTCATATTTGGGTGATTTTCTTCTTATAAATGGAGAAGGGCTGTGTCAGTGTTCCCTCTGGGAATTTCTTCTCATGACCACAGCTACTGTGTGGTCTAGAAAGAGAGAACATTAGGGTTGTGAGGTTCATTGCAAACAGGCCCAAGAATGGTTCCTCTTCTCTGGGTGTAAGAAGATAATTAGAATCTCATTTATCTTTCTGGATATACTTGAATTTGTTAGCTTTATGTTCAAACATATTCCTAAGCACAAGCATGGAAACATCCATAATTAAGAAGATTTTAAAATAATAATTTTATGTTTACTAATATGTTCATTTCAATTTAATGTAAATATGGTTCCAACATGTAAGAGAGTTTTTCCAAAGACCCAATTTTCTCTATTTCAAACACACGTGATCACATTTATAATAGTAACTACAAAGCCCAGGCAGCTGGAAACTCCTTGATCTTTGCTGTGTGAGTCTTGTATTTATGTTCAAGGCTCTTTGAGCTAACTCTCCCCTCAGGAACTGAGGCCTACAGCAGAGGACCCTCATAACTTACATCAGACAGAAGAACACTTTTCTATGCAGAAGAGCCAAAAGAGCAGCCATGACAATTCTCTGATGCAGTGTCAACAAATTTGGAAGGGAAAATTTGGGAAGAGTCATGGCTAAGCCACATTATCAAATTCTCATACTAAGGGTTCACTGTGTTAAGAAGCAGCAGAGTTGGGAGGAGCCCATCCATAGCTTCACTTAGGGGGAAGGTCACTATGAATTTCAAAGGTATCTTATTTATTTCCATCATCCTTTGGAGGACTGGGCCCTGTGGCCAGATTCCTGAGCTCTTGTATTACATGGAAAGAGCTTTACATTCAGGATACAATATTTTCAGATCTAGCATTGAAATATTCTCTGTAGCCTATACTTGGCTTTTTACCTCCTTCGTAATAACTTCATAGGACAAAAGATTTTAATTTTAGTTATATTTTATTCATCAATGTCTCATCTCAATGTTTTATCTTAACATTTTCCAGACAGCTCACTCTCACAGTGAATATGTCCTGTATTTCCCTGTCATTTTTATGCAGCTGCTGATGCAGGAACAGTGGAGCCAGAAAAGTGGTCCTGGATATTAGTCTGTGGACCATTGTCACTGTAGTTGTCCACTGCCTCCCCTGGTGTCCTTAGGTTCCCCTGAAGCCCAGCCCTCCCGTATCCTTATGGGAGGTTTATGTCTGGGCTCATACTTCCTTCCTCTCACTGTGTCTCTGGCGCAATAATACACAGCTGTGTCCTCGGTGGTCACAGAGCTCAGATGCAGGGAGAATTGGTTCTTGGATGTGTCTCTAGAGATTGAGGTGCGGCTTTTAAGGGATGGGCTGTAGTAACTGTTCCCATCACTACATATGCACCCAATCCACTCCAGCCCCTTTCCTGGAGGCTGGCGGATCCAGTTCCAGCAGTAACCACTGGTGATGGAGTAACCATACACAGCACAGATGAGGGAGATTGTCTGTGAGGGCTTCAACAGTTCTGTTCCCCACTCTTGCAGCTGCACCTGGGGCAGGACATCTGTGGACAAGGAACACCAGACCGTGTCAGCCATACACACTCACCAGTATATCATTGACCTTTGTCAGACACTTGAGATACTCACCCTGGGTGGCAATCACCAGGCACAGGAGATGACCCAGCACTTTCATCTTCTTCTAGTGTACAGCTCTGTCTTCCACAGAGACCTCAGACCCATGTGGGGAGAAAGCTGTGAGCCCCCACAGACCAGGGGAGAATTAACACTGGGGCTGGAAGAGAAATTTGCATGTTGGGGCAGTCTTTTCTATATAAGTGGAGAAGGATTTCGGTCAGGCTCCGTGGTCATTCTGGAACCTCTGTAGGGACATCTTTTCTCATGAACTCACCATGTTCATCAGGGACACCGGATTCTCTTTTTTATCGGACACATTGGAATGATATCTAAGGACTGCCTCACTTCCTGAGCATAAGAAGAAATGGTGGACTAGATGAGTATGTGACATTCTTATATTCCCAAGAACCTTTCAAACTGATTTGAAAGGTATTATTAGCAGTTTTCAGACACTCCCAAAATACAAAAACTCTGATAAATCCATAATGTTCGAATACTTTTATCATAAATAAAAACAAATAATGTCTATGTTATCATGTAAAATAATAAATAAAGCAGAGTCATTTTCAAAGTCACATTTATCTTCATCATGACCACTTTTTGATCTGAGAAAGTAACTTTCAAGCACAGATGGGTGAGACATTATTGATTCTTGTGGTTGGAAATATGATTGTGGCTACAAGTCCCAGTGAAAATTCTTCCCTTCTGCAAGACCAGAACACACTGAAGAGACCTCAAATTAATCACATAGAAATAATCACATTTTTACATGCAGAAACAACTAGAAATGAGAATACCTATAATGCATGTGTCACTCAACACAACTCAGAATTCTTCATATGTCAAGAGATTATACCAGCAGATTAACTTATCTGTTTTCTCAATCTACTATTGTCAGTATGTTGGGGTCCAGAGGAAATGAAATTAAGAGAATTCCTAGGACAAATTTGCTCACAAGAAAGGGAACCTCCACCTAGACATGAAACCCTCACTCCCACCCTCCTTTGACCCTGATTTGGTGATCATCAATTTTGGCAGAGGGTTCTGGGTCTCTCACACAACATATAATGCTCTTAATCTGTAATAAACATTTTATTCCATCATACACTTGATTTGGAATATAATCCTGTTCACATCTGTCTCTTTAAAGGCTTAGTGGGTCTTTGTTGGGACAAATATAATTAAGTTTAACAAAGTATAAATTATCAATATTTAATGGGTCCTCTGTTGAGTGTTTTTACAAAATTTGCCCCCCCCCCAAATATTGCCAACTTCTGTTGTCCATGATGACTGGTTGAAGTAGCCATAGGGACTAGAACAGGTTCTGGAGCCAAGACTGGAGTACTGCTGGAAAAAATATCCACAACTGTACAAGTGACTTTGTAACTGGGCAAGAATAATGTTCTGTCACATGACACAAACATCATGGATTTCATTACCAGAGTGTTACTGAGAATACAGGTTTAAAGACATTTTAAGTGAGGACACAAAAGGAAGTACAGTAAAATATAGAGGAAGATTATGATGTCTAAAAATGCCTAAATGTTTTTTAAATTTTCTTTTTTTTCCTTTGCTTGGATTTATTTATTTATTTATTTATTTATTTATTTTAATTTTATTTAGTTATTTTTCAAGTACAGTTTTTTTGTCTATTTTTCCCATCCCAGCCTCCCCCGCCCCTTGCTCTCCACCTCCCTCCCATTTCCACCCCCCCTTAGTTCTCATCCCTGTGTCCTTCCTATTTGTTCTTCCAAATCCCTCCCCTTTTTCCCCCTTAACTTCCCTTCCTTCTCCCCTCTGGTCACTGTCCCCTTGTTCTCTATTTCAGTGTCTTTTTTTTTCTGCTTGCTTGCTTGTTTTTTTGTTTATCTTCCTGTTAAAGGTGAGATCATATGGTATTTGTCTTTTAGCACCTGGCCTATTTCACTCAGCATAATGCTTTCCAGTTCCATCCATGTTGTTGCAAAAGGTAGTAGCTCCTTCTTTCTCTCTGCAGCATAGAATTCCATTGTGTATATGTACCACAATTTTTTGATCCATTCATTTACTGACGGGCACCTAGGTTGCTTCCAACTCTTGGCTATTGTAAATTGTGCTGCTATGAACATTGCGGTGCATAGGTTCTTTGATATTGATGTTTTAGGATTCTTAGGATATAATCCCAGCAGTGGAATTGCTGGGTCAAAAGGCAGGTCGATTTTTATTTTTCTGAGAAAATTCCATACTGTTTTCCATAATGGTTGTACCAGTCTGCAATCCCCCCAACAGTGAACTAAGGACCCCTTTTCTCCACAACCTCTCCAACATTTTTGTTTTATTTTATTTTTTAAATTTTTATTTTATTGATTATGCCATTACAGTTGTCCTATTCCCCCCTTCATTCCCCTCCACCCTGCACCCCTCCACTTCTACCATTCTCCCCCCTTTAGTTTATGACCATGTGTCTCAAGTTCTTTGGATTCTATATTTCCCATATTGTTCTTTCCCTCCTCCTATCTGTTTTCTACCTACCGTCTATGCTACTTATTTTCTGTACTTCCTCCCCCCTTCTCCTCCCACTCCCCTGTTGCTAACCCTCCATGAGATCTTCATTTCTATGGTTCTTCTCCTGATCTGGCTGTCCTTTTAGCTTGCTTTTGTTTTAGATGTGGTTGTTAATAACTGTGAGTTTGCTGCCCTTTCACTGTTCATATTTTTTATCTTTTTTTTCTTAGATAAGTCTCTAACATTTCATATAATAAGAGCTTGGTGATGATGAACTCCTTGAATTTGATCTTATCTGAGAAGCACTTTATCTGCCTTTCCATTCTAAATGAAAGTTTTGCTAGACAGAGCAATCTTGGTTGTAGGTCTTTGGATTTCATGACTTGGAATACCTCTTTCCAGCCACTTCTTGCCTGTGAGGTCTCTTTTGAGAAATCAGATGACAGTCTAATGGGAAGTCCTTTGTAGGTGACTGTCTCCTTAGCTCTTGCTGCTTCTAGGATTCTCTCTTTCATTTTAATCTTGGCTAATATAATTATGATGTGCCTTGGTGTGTTTCTTCTTGGGTCCAAATTCTTTGGGACTCTCTGAGCTTCCTGGACTTCCTGGAAGTCTATTTCCTTTGCCAGATTGGGGAAATTCTCCTTTATTATTTGTTCAAATAAGTTATCCAGTGGTGGCTGTGCCTTTACCCCTTCTGGTACCCCTATAATTCAGATGTCGGAGCATTTAAAGATGTCCTGGAGGTTCCTAAGTCTCTCCTTATTTTTTTTGAATTCTTGTTTCTTCATTCTTTTCTGGTTGGTCATTTTTATCCTCCTTCTGGTCCACTCCCTTGATTTGAGTCCCAGTTTCCTTTCCATCACTATTGGTTTCCTGTGCATTGCCATTCATTTCAATTAGTTTAGCCTTCATATGTTCTTTTAAATTGTGACTAAAATCAACCAGTTATGTGAGCATCCTGATCACCAGTGTTTTGAACTGTGTATCTGAAAGATTTGCTATTTCTTCATCACTTAGATTTATGGGCTCTGGAGCTTTGAGATCTTCTTGAGCCATTTTTGGTATGTTCGTGCCCATTAAGTATGAAGAGCGGAACCTTAGGGGCAGGGCGTGGCCTCCAGGGTGGGGTCTCTGAGTTGTGGAGCTGTTTGTGGGGGCGGGGTAAGAGCCTGGAAATGAAGGCCGTCTCTGCTTCCTCCCGTTGCTGGGACCCACTGGGTCCCTTGTCACTGCCCACTCCCTTGCCAGTCTATCTGCACAGGAATGCGCCAGCACAGTCAACCCGCAGCCCTTCACCCTCGAGGGATCTGCCTGTCACTCACTAAGTTGCACTCACTAGGTCGCTCACTGGGTCGGACCTCTGCAACCCCACTGTTGAGAAATCAGCTGACAGTCTGATGGGCACTCCTTTGTAGTTGACTGTCCCCTTATCTTTTGCTGCTTCTAGGATTCTCTACTTTATTTTAATCTTGGCTAATGTAATTATGATGTCCCATAATTACATGTGTGTGTCTCGTTGGGTTCAATTTCTTTGGGATTCTCTGAGCTTCCTGGATTTTCTGGAAGTCTATTTCCTTTGTCAGAATGGGAAAGTTCTATTTTATTATTTGTTCAAATAAGGTTTCCACTTGCTCTTCCTCTTCTCCTTCTGGTACCCCTATAATTTGGATTTTGAAGCATTTAAAGATGTTCTGGAAGTTCCTAAGCCTCTCTTCATTTTTTTTAAATTTTTGTTTCTTCATTTTTTTTCTGTGTGGTTGTTTCTTTCTTCCTTCTGGTCCACTCCCTTGATCTGAGCCCCAGTTTCCTTTCCATCATGATTGGTTTCCTGTGCATTTCCCTTCATTTCAATTAGTTTAGCCTTCATTTGTTCTTCTAATTTTTGACTAAAATCAATCAGTTCTCTGAGCATCCTTATCACCAGTGTTTTGAACTGGTGCATCTGATAGGTTGGCAATTTCTTGGTCAGTTATAGTTATCGGCTCTGGGTGTTTCAGTCCTTCTTGAGGCATGTTTTTGTCTGCTCAAGCCTGTTACATATGAGGAGGGGAGCCTTAGGTATTCACCAGGGCGTGGCCACCCAGGTCCCTGGTTTGTGATACTGTATGTGGAGGCAGGGTCAAAGATGGGTAATAGTGGTCCCCTCTGCTGCTTCCCAACACTGGGGCCTGTGCAGTCTGTCTCACTGCTTGCTCCTTCACTGGTTTATGTACTTGCGAATGTGTGACCGCGTTCAGCCTGCTGCCTTGTGCCCTCACTGAGTCTGTCTGTCACAACCCCATGCCTGGGATCCACCAACCACTGACCATGCACCTGTGGCGGTCTGACTGAGTTTTCCTGGGTGACTCAGCTCCTCCAGTCGCTGGCCCCGCCCCTCTTACAGTCTGGCTGAAGGGTTTGTTGTTGTCGGACTTCTGTATAGTTCTTTTTTTTTTGAAGATTTTATTTATTCATTTATAGAGGGGAAGGAGAGAGGGAGAGAAACATCAATGTATGCTTGCCTTTTGTGCACCCCCTGCTGGAAACTGGCCTGCAGGGTAGCAGTCTGCAACCCAGGCATGTGCCCTGACTGGGAATCGAACCGCGATCTTTTGATTCACAGGCCCATGCTCTAT